ATGTAAATACTATAAGAAAGATAGCAATGAAATCTATTAAAACAATTCAAGATAATCCATACAAGTTATATCAAGTGATGTATAACTAATTGCCAAAAGAGTGTAACAGAAATGAATACTGTGAGTTCAGAGGAGGGAGATGCTCTGAGCTCTTCAGAAGAATAACACTATTTAAGCCCAGAGAATTAGCATCCATTTATCTCCTTTTACTCTTACCTTGTATCTTTCTTATAAGGCTTTGTATAATATCTCTGAAAGATAAGTGTAACAATTTAGTCAGGATCCATTTTGCCCCAGCTTAAGTCTCTAGGGCCTCTTGCTGTGATTATATTCAGAGGAAGAGATAACAGATCAGAGAGAGCTTATTGATGAATCCTAGTTGGCAGCGGCTGACACACCCCACTCCTGGTGGCTGGCATTGTAAGCAGTGAAGTGTGGAGAATGAGAAGCAGGACTGAGTTAATGTATCTATGCATCCTAGGTAAGTTGTGAAAATTGTATCCCACTGTATCTGTCAGTAAGTCAGTCAATAAGCATTCATCAAGAGCTCCCTATGTATCAAGCGCTGTGCTAAGTTTTGGTTGGTAGAAAGAAAGGCAAAAATGACCCCTACTCTCAAGGAATTCATATTCTAATATGGATGAAATAAGCATTTGTTAAGTGCTTATTATATGCCAGGCACTGCAGATACACTTTACTAATATTTAACCCTCATAATAACCCTGAGGGGTAGCTGCTATTATTACTTCTATTTCATAGTTGAGAAAACTGAGGCAAAGAGGTTAAGTGACTTGCTCAGGGTCATACAGCTAGTGAGGATTTGAGGCTGGATTTGAATTCAGTTCTTCCTGACTTCAAAACCCATGCTCTATCCAGTGCTCCACCTAGGTAGAAGAGATAATAACTAGGGACAGTACAAAATATATGTTTTGCATCTATCTGTGTATGTATATCCATATATACACATAAAGTAGATGGAAGTAATCAGAGAAAGTTTGGGGAGATGGGGAAGAGCTCCCTTGCAGAAGGTAATGTTTGAGATGAGTCCTGAAGCGAGACAGGAACCGTACGGGGAATAGCTGGGCTTATTTGTGGGCAGCAAGAAGGGATCTTGACCATCACTTCTGAACCAGGGACTAGTGCTTTGGAGATAGCAACTATATTCAAAGTCTCAGTGCACTGGGAAAGTGAATAATAAGTTGCCTCAACTCCAGGGGCAATTGCCCATGGATATGATAGGGAATAGGATATAATAGGGTGACATGAACTGAGAATCAGGTTACCTGGGTTTTAAACTTAACTCTTTGACTCATTAACTCTGAGTAACCTTGGACAATTCCCTAAAGCATTTAAGACCACAATTGCCTCATCTGAAAAATCTCATTTATGCACCCACAGTAATACAAATAAATAATTGATTTAATATTAACTCTGAAAGGAACCCTAGAGATCATGTAGTCCATACCCTTAATTTTATATGTTTCTTTACTACTCTCCACCCATTCCCTTTCTAGGTCTTTTTCTGGTCCACTACCTGTCACATAGTAGGCACTTGATAAATGTTCATGGATTGAATGGTTGTTACACTACATTGCCTCATATCAATGGCCAGTTACTTCTGAAGTCTAGAATAGAAGATCCACATACACTGAGTTTTCAGAGGTCCTGCTTGGTATTCCTAAAACTACTAATTCTTGGTTCAATTGCAGTAGAGAATAACACAAAGAACTCTTTATAGGACATGTGGAAATAATAATTAATAAAGATATTATTTTTTTCCGTCTTGTAATCATGATTCCATTGGCATGGGGCAGGGATGTCAAATTTGCAGGTTGCAAAACTATGGAGTGGAGCCCAAACCAAGTTAAAATGCAATTAAAATTTTTTTAAAAATAAAAATACAGCACTGCATAGATAATGTTAATTTATTGTTTTCTGAGTCAGTATTGCAGCCTACAGGGATCTATTTCTATTTATATTTGACACTACTGGTATAGGCAACTCTTAGAGACAAAACCCCTCTACCAATGCAGACGAATAGCTAATTTTCATTATACAGTATTACTGATTTGCCTGGGTAACTTAGAGTTTAAGTGACTCATCCAGGATCTCATAGACAGTATGTGTCAGAAGTTGGGATTTGAGTACAGTCCTTCCTGACTCTGAGATGGGGTCCCTTTTGATTATGCCACATTGTTGCTAACTACATTAAATATGATGTATTCACATTAGCTTGCCAAAAATGCTTCGAGAGATGGGAATATACTTTTGTAATACTTCAATGAAAAATTCATCCAGTCATGCATATACTCAGGAAGTAATAAACTATGGAGGGAGGAAAGGGAATAAATATTTGTATAGTTCTTACTACATGCCAGGCACTGGGCCAAGTGCATTTATTAGCTGCATGACTGTGGGCAAATCTATGAGTTAGATTTCTATTTCTTCATTGTAAAATGGGCCCATCTGCATTATATGCATTATGAGTTATTATAGGGAAAGTACTTTCTAACCAAGAAGTACTTTACAAATGTGAGTTATTAATTCTGGTGTCAGCAATAATAATGTGGCATAGTAAACAGAGTAATGGACATGGAGCCAGGATGATCTGGTTTCAAATCCTACCTCTGATAATTTCTAGATCTGACACTAAGCAAATAGCTTCATTTGTCTCAACTTTTTTCATGAAGTTTATTTTAATATTTTTTTAAAAAAAGATCAATTCACAGTTCTACCAACAGTGTTTAAGGATACCTCTTTTCTCATTGACCTCACACTGGGAATTAAAAAAAACCCCCTGTAATAGCAGTACATCAGTTTACCTTTTTATAAATAAAATCTTTTCAATTAATTTTCTTTTCTTTCTTTTTAAGTAGAATTTTATTTTTCCAACTACATGTAAAGATAGTTTTCAACATTCATTTTTAATAAGATTTTGAGTTCCAAATTTTTCTCCCCTCTTTCTTCTCTCCCTCCTTTCCCTTTACCCCCTCCCCAAGACAGCAAGCAATCTGATGTAGGTTATACATATGTAATCATGTTAAATATGTTTCCACATTAGTCATGTTGTGAAAGAAGAAAGAGAACAAAAGGGAAAAACCATGAAGGAAAAGAACAACAAAAAAAGTGAAAACATGATGCTTTGGTCTGCATTCAGACTCCATAGTTCTTATTCCGGATGTGGATAGCATTTTCCATCATGAGTCTTATTGCTGAGAAGAGCTAAGTCTAACAAAGTTGGTCATTGCACAATGTTGCTGTTACTGTGTACGATGTATTCCTGATTCTGTTCACTTCACTTAGTATCAGTTCACGTTTCTTTTAAAATTAATTTTCTATCCCTGCTACTTCCCTCTCTTCAAAAATACATAAGGTAGGGGCAGCTAGGTGGCACAGTGGATAGAGCACCAGCCCTGAAGTCAGGAGTACCTGAGTTCAAATCCGGCCTCAGACCAAACACTTGACACTTACTAGCTGTGTGACACTGGGCAAGTCACTTAACCCCAACTGCCTAAAAACCAAACAAACAAAAATACATAAGAGAGGGAGCTGCAAGGTGGGAGAGAAGATATGTTGTAACAGATAAATATAATTAAGTAAAACAAATTACTGCATTGACCATATCCAAAAATGTATGCATATTTAGTCCATCTCATTTCTGTCAGGAGGTGGGCAGCATTCTTTATCACTGGTCTTCTAAAATCATGGTTGATCATTGCTTTGATCAGAGTTCTTAAGCCTTTTAAAATAATGATTTCAAAAGAACTCTGATTAGGGTGCCCTTATTGGAGAATTCTGGCTCAGTTTCAGTTTCCCATAAGATGAGGCAACATAGCTGGCATTCACAGGTTCCTAAGTCAAGAGTTGGAAGGCACTGCAGGGGTTAATCAAGCCAACCATCTCATTTCACAGTTAAAGAAATTATCAAATGAGGGAGTTGGATTAGATGGACTGTGAAGTCACTCTAGCTCCAGACTAGAAACCTATGGTCTTTTAGGGAGAAAGAAAACACTATGTTATTTTATGTCAGGCTCTTTCTGTGCTGCTCAGACCAATCCTACTTTGATCACACACTAAAACAAAAGATGCAAGTTGCTTTGAAAGAAGATAAAAGGGTTTTTTGTTCATTTGTTTGTTTTTTGTTTTGTTTTGTTTTGTTTTCATTCAAGCTCCATAGTTCTTTCTCTGGACATGATTAGCATTTTCCATCATGAGACTTTTGGAGATGTCTTAGATCCTTGCATTGCTGAGAAGAGCTAAGTCTATCAAAGTTAGTCATCCCACAACATGGCTGTTACTGTGTATAATGTTCTGCTCACTTCACTCAGCATCAATCCATACAAGTAGAAGATAAGAGTTTTGATCACCATTGTGGCCAATAGAAATCGAATCCATTTGCAAGAACTCAGCTCTTCTCCTGTGGGACTGCTGTTAGCCAAGGAAGGCAGTTTATTTGTATTCTGTGAAAGACCATGGCATGATAGAAAGTGCAGGGAATATGCAATTTCGTGCTGGTTTGACTTCTTTTCCTGCACAGGGGAGTAAGGGATCAATAGTAGCAAACGGGAACCAAGGCTGACCTGCTGAAACCCTGTCAATTCAAGCTTTATTCCAAGTGGAGATGTTTGTGCCTCCTCTCTCCCCCAACCAAAGGCAGCTGGTGAGTAGTACCAATGGACAACATCTGGGAAATAAATCCAAACATTGTACAGAGTTTGCAATTCTGAAATAGACATCTAAGGCAGATGAATTGACTTTTAATATTTATTTTAGAAGTTTCAGTGACTCCATTTTCTCTATTGGATTTGAAAAAAGCTTAGGCTCAGTTGTTGAGAATTCTTTCCCTCTCCTTACTTCCTCCGACTCTTCACCCTTCCCTTTTTCTCCTCTCCCCTCCTACCCTCCCCTGCTTTTCTCTCTCCCTTCCCCTCCTTCCCCACTTCCTCCAAAATCCTCATCCTTCCCTCCATCCTTTGTCCTTCTTTTCTTCCCTGGCCTAGATGATGCCATGGTGGAGATGGCTGAGGAAGCCATGGAGCCCACCGAGGTAGACATCATGGGGCTGTGGCAGGATGTGTTCTCCAAAATGACTATGTACCTGACAGGTGAGCTGACAGCCACCAGTGAAGACTATAAACTTCTGGAAAATATGAACAAATGGACTAGCTTGAAGTATCTAGAAATGAAAGATATTGCAGTAAACATAAGTAGAAACTCAAAGGACTTAAACCAGAAATCTGCAGCACTTCAGCCTTATCTGCATCAGATCACTTTAATTGAGGAGCAAGTAGCAGCTCTGGAGCAGGTAGCCTACAAGTTGGATGCACATTCAAAGAAACTAGAAGCAAAGTACAAGAAGGTAGAGAGGAGATGAAAGAATTCTTTAGCACAAAGACATTACCTACAAGAATGTTTCGTAAGAGCTAAAATAAGTGGGATGGAACTTAGCACTATGTTTAAATTCCTAAAAGGAAGTGGTGCTGCTGATGCAAGAAAAGTCCCAGCCCTCACCTCTGGTTGGATGTGTAACTTTGGCTACCCCTTAATGTTTCCTAAACCTGTAGCCCCTGGAACCTCATCTTTTCGTGTGCGTCACCATGAGCCCTGGACCAAAGCTCAGAAATCAGGATCAACCCTGTGCAGAGCAGACGCAGAGAAGAGGCTCTCATCTCCCTGTCTCCTCCCTTCTTCCCCACAACCTGTTCTTCAAGTTAAATAATAAATTCCTACTCATGAAAAAAAAAGAATTCTTTCCACCCTCCAAACTTTTCCCCAGCCATGCTGGTAACTCCTTATCTCTTGTTGCTTGATTTACCCATCAGTGCTCTTGGTTGCAGGAGAAGTGAATCATACATGTGGAGCACAGGATAATTTAACACCAGTGCCAATGTCTCTTGAATAGTATTTGCAGAAGAGAACAGAATTAAGTGTTCTGCTGCTGCTTTTTTTAAATATAAATTTATTTACTGTAGTTTTCAACATTCATTTCCACAAGTTTTTGAGTTTCAAATTTTGACCCCATCTCACCCTCCCCCACCCCCAAGATGGCATGCATTTTGAATATCCCTTCCTCTAGTCTGACCTCTTTTCTTTCTCTCCCCCCTTCTCTTATCCCCTTCTCCTTCTATTTTCCTGTAGGGCAGGATAGACTTCTGTACCCCATTTCCTGTATTTCTTATTTCCCAATAGCATGTGAGAATTTTTTTAAACATATGTTTTGAAAACTTTAGATCTCAAATTTTCTCTCTTCCTCCCTCCCCAACCATCCTCATTGAAAAGGCAAGCAACTCAATATAGGTTGTACATGTTCAGGTATGCAAAACACTTCCATAGTAGACATGTTGTGAAAAACTAACTTTACTTCCCTTAATCCCATTCTGTCCTCCCATTTATTCTATTCTTTCTTTTGACCCTGTTCTTCCTCAGAAGTATTTACTTCTGATTACACCCTTTTCCAATCTGCCCTCCTCTCTATCATCCCCTGCTCTCTTGTCCCCTTCTCCCCCTATTTTCTGTAGGGTAAGACAAACTTCCATACCCAATTGAATGTGTATGTTATTCCCTCCTTAAGCCAAATCCTATGAGAATAAGATTACTCATTCCCTCTCACCTTCCCTGCTTCCCCTCCACTGTAAGAGACTTTTCTTTTCTGTTTTTTTGTGAGATAATTTACCCCATTCTACCTCTCCCTTTCTTCTTCTCTGAGTAATCCCCTCATCCCTTAGTTTTATTCTCCAGATATGACCCCTTAATCTTCAACTCACCCTGTGCCTTCTACCTATCTATCTATCTATCTATCTATCTATCTATCTATCTACATACATATAATTTTTTCCTTCAACTACCCTAATACTGACAAAGGTCTCATGAGTTTTAAATATCCATGCAGGAATGTAAACAATTCAATCTTAATAAGTTCTTATGATTTTCTTTCCTGTTTACCTCTTCATGTTCTACTTGAGTCCTGTATTTGAAAGTCAAATTCTCTATTCAGCTCTGTTCTTTTCATCAGGAATGCTTGAAAGTCCTCTGTTTCACTGAATGACCATTTCCTTCCCCCTGAAGGTTTATACTCAGTTTTGCTGGGTAGGTGATTCTTGCTTGTAATCCTATCTCCTTTGCCCTCCAGAATATTATATTCCATGCCCTGCGGTCCTTTAATGTAGAAGCTGCTAAATCTTGTGTTATCCTGATTGTGTTTCCACAGTACCTGAATTGTTTCCTTCTGGCAGCTTGTAATATTTTCTCCTTGACCTGGGAACTCTGGAATTTGGCTACAATATTCCAAGGAGTTTTCCTTTGGGGATCTCTTTCAGGAGGAGATCTGTGGATTCTCTTCATTTCTATTTTGCCCTCTGGTTCTAATATATCAGGGCAGTTTTCCTTGATAATTTCTTGAAAGATGATGTCTAGGCTCTTTTTTTGATCATGGCTTTCAGATAGTCCAATAATTTTTAAATTCTCTCTCCTGGATCTATTTTCCAGGTCAGTTGTTTTTCCAATGAGATATTTCACATTGTTTTCTAATTTTTCATTCTTTTGGATTTGTTTTACAGTGTCTTGATTTCTCATCAAGTCACTAGCTTCCAATTGCTCTTCTATTTTTAAGGAAGTATTTTCTTCAGTAATCTTTTGGACTTCCTTTTCCATTTGGCCAATTTTTCTTTTTAGGGCATTTTTCTCCTCATTGGCTTTTTGGACCTCTTTTGCCATTTGGGTTAGGCTATTTTTTAAGGTGTTATTTTCTTCAGTATTTTTTTGGGTCTCCTTTAGCAAGCTGTTGACTTGTTTTTCATGATTTTCTTGCATCACTCTCATTTCTCTTCCCAGTTTTTCCTCTACTTCCCTTACTTGCTTCTCAAAATCCCTTTTGAGCTCTTCCAAGGCCTGGGACTGATTCATATTTTTCTTGGAGGCTTTGGATGTAGGAGCTTTGACTTTGTTGTCTTCTTCTGGTTGTATATTTTGATCTTCTTTGTCACCAAAGTAAGATAATATAGTCTGACTCTTTTTGCGCTGCTTGCTCTTGAACCTGGCCAATTACTTGAGTTTTAAACTCTTTGTTAAGGTAAGAGTCTGCTTCCAATGTGGAGAATGTACTGTCCCAAGCTTCAGGGGTTTGTATAGCTGTTTTCAGAGATACTTGTAGGTACCTGTAAATTTTCAGTTCTTGCAAGGTGGTATGATAAGGGGCGAGGTGTTTACTCCTTTCCTGGCCTGTGACCACAAGTATTCCTTTCTGTCCTGTAACTGTGAGGAGGGGTTCCTCCTCACAGCCACTACAAGCTCCAGCATGCCAGCGTTCCTCCTCTTCCCAGCACAGACACCCAGAAGTGTGACCCAGATTCAAACAAGGGCAAAGCAAGAGACTCCTGCCTCTGCACTGGCAAAGAGATCCTTGCAATTCCTCTCTGATCAGCCACTGGATTCCATGGGCTGGAATCTTGGGAAGGAACCCCCCCTGCCCCCGACCACGCTGTTGGGGAATGAAGCTGAAACCCCGCCTTCCTCTCTGAGCACTGCAGAAACAGACTTTTCCCATTGTCCTTCTAAGTTGTCTTTGGCATTAGTGGGTTGAGGAGTCTGGAAACCTGCACAGCTGCCCATGATTCACTCCTCTGAGGCCTGCTCCAGGTTTGCCTGCAGCCTGTGTTCCCAGCCCGTTGCGATACACCTTTCTGATCAATCATCCAGGTTGTCTTGGGCTGGAAATTTGTTTCACTCTGTTTTTTTGTGGGTTCTGCTGCTTCAGAATTTGCTTACAGCCATTTTTTATGAGTATTTGTAGGGGTTTGTGGGAGAGCTTAAGCAAGTCTCTGCTTTCATTCCACCATCTTGGCTCTACCCCTGGTCCTGCTTTTTACTATGGGGAGGAAGTTAGTCTGTTCTAGGTTTGTTATCCATTCATAATAGATCTATATTTTAGAAAGAATTATTTCTCTCTTGATATGTTACAGGGTATGGCTATTAGGAAGTGATTTTCAGCAAAATGTTTATCATTTCTGGAAGGAGAATATAATTAAAAAAAAACAATTGATGCAGGAAAAAGGCCTGAAATTCTCTAAGCATTCTATGTCTAGTACATCCTCTGAGTTAGAGTAGGCCTGTCTTTACTTATATGCTGAGGACAACTTGCTAGGAATTTTTGTTTCCATTGCTTTGGGTAGAATGAGAAGAATGAAGAGAAAATTCTGGGGAATGTGGGTAAATTGGACTCCATTTATAAGAAAATCAACTCCACAACATTCTGGTGGCTTCAAATTTGGACCACCAGGGCTTGTGAAGTATCTGCATTTCTGTCAGTGAGCAGGTCCAATGGTAAGTAAACCTATGTAAGAACCCAGGGTTTGATTTTGCCAATATTCTTATCGTCAGTGCTGGCATGAATATTATTAGAAGCTGTTCCTTCTCTCTTTTGGGCTGTGGCTCATGTGGCCATGAGTGGTTATCACTTATTTTAATGCAAAACACTGTAAAAATGTCAGCAGTAAAGATGTAGGAAAATTGGAACACTAATGCATGTTGGCAGAGTTGTGAAATGATCCAACCATTTTGAAGAATTTGGAATTATGCCCAAAGGGCTATAAAAATGTGCGTACCCTTTGACACAGCAATAGCACTTCTAGGGCTATATCCCAAAGAGATCATACAAATGGGAAAAGACCCACATGTACAAAAATATTCATAGCAGCTCTTTTTGTGGTGCAAAGAATTGGAAATTGAGAGGATGCCCATCAATTGGGGAATGGCTGAGCAAGTTGTGGTATATGAATGTAATGAAATACTATTGTGCTATAAGAAATGATGAACAGGCTGACTTCAGAAAAACCTGGAAAGACTTGTATGGTCTGATGATGAGTGATATGAGCAGAACCAAGAGAACGTTGTACACAATAACAGCCACCTTGTACAATGACTAATATTGATAAACTTAACCTTCCTCAGCAATACAAGGATCTAAGACATCTCCAGAGGACTTGTGATAGAAAATGCTGTCCACATACAAAGAAAGAACAATGGAAGTTGAATCGCTATCATTTTTTTTCCCTTCTGTTGAGTTTTGTTTCCTCTTTCTTTTTGTTTCCTATTGGTTTTAATTTTTGCATACAACTTCACTAATGTGAAAATATGTTCAATACAAATGTAAATGTATAGCCTATATGATATTGTGCTCCATCTTGGGGAGGGTGGGGGGGAAGAAGGGGGAGAAAAATTTTAAACTCAAAAGCATATGGAAGTGATTGTTTATAAATCAAAATAAATTAATAAAATTTTTAAAAAAATGTCAGCAGTAGACATAAAAATCCTGGTCACCAATTTTCAGTGAGAGAACAGGCTGGAAAAAAAAATAAAGATTCTAAACTCTCTTTTAGC